AGTAGGGTTCTCCTGCCTTTGATAAGGTTTAGGGAAATTCTGGAAGTGCCACACACTGTGCACACTCGTGGGATAAAGTCTGTCCAAGGCCAGGCAGGATGGGGCTTGGAGCAAGCAAGGGTAGTGGAAGGTGCCTGTGCCCATGGCAGAGTTTGGAATAAGTGATCTTGAAGGTCCTCTCCCAGATCGTTCTGTGATTCTATGGTTACATTTATGCCTAAGTGTTTTGTTTCCTTTTCCCTCAGCTCGTAGAGGATGACCCCTGGCCACGACTGAACTCTGCTGAGCCCATTCCTCCCCTCCTGCACAGCAACATGCTCTCAGAAAAATACCTGGAGCTGCCAAATGAGATTGCCAAAAGCAGTTTACCTTCCTCAGGAGGAACCCCGAAGGATTCAGCCCCCCAGGAGGAGAAGTGCAGCAAAGCCCTGGCTTTGAGGCTACAGGAATCCTACAGCAATGGTTTGTCAGTCAGCCTCTCCCCTTCCAACTCAGGCACGGACCAAAAAGGCCTCAAGGTGTCCCCTACCGGCGCAGGCAAGGACGCGGAGAGGACGCCGCCGGCCAGCTTTAAGCGGACACTGGAGGAATCCAACTCGGGCCCCGCGGTGAAGAAGCCGCGGCGGGGGCCGGGCCGGGGCCCGGGCGAGGGCGCGGCCGGCCCGCAGCGCCGCAGCCCGGCCCGGCTGGCCATGCGGCGCAGCCTCCGCGGGCAGAAGAAGCTCAGCAGCTCCCTGTTCCACCCGCCCAGGAAAGCCCTCTGCGTCTGCTGAGGGCTCTGCGGAGCTCCTCCCAAGGTGGTTTTTTTTCTTTTTTAAAGTAGGAACTTTTTTTGGTATCCGACAGCTTTATCCCGGCCTTGTACTTGCTTGTATTATAACTGTGAATTTTGTAGATGTGTAGGGTATAAGTCACTGTAAAATGTGTGTAAATTTGTATTCCTTCATATAAATGTAGTCTCTTTTTCTTCCTTGTATAATTGTTACTGCGGGGCTAAGCCTTGTTTTAAAAAAAAACAAAAACAAAACAAAAAGTAAAATAATCCTTTTTGTTAATTTACTAAAGTCATCAATTTGTATACGCTTCTTGTGAGGAGAATTTCACAACTTTTTAACTAAAGTAAATTATTAAACAGAATGGAAGATAATGTATTTTCGTAGTCTGATACGTTCCACCTAAAGTGTGTCTTTTAGAGAATACACTAGGTCTATATTTTGGTTTTAAATTTTAGATTTCTCTACTCAGAAATGAAATGTATGTGGAAGCAGAGATTTGAGTCTTGCTTTACACACCTCAATGTCGATTTTATGTTAATTAAAATACTATGCAGTATCTTATTTAGTTGTATTTTTTGTAACAATAATCGTCAAAAGTATTTAGCAAAAAAAAGTGTGTTTTAAAAACTCCAACTCCCCAGAGCATCCAACGAAGCCATTCCCATCCCCTGTTCCAGATGATGGCATTTTATCCAGGCATCACTGCCCCCCGAGATGTGTTTTCTGCTATTCCAATACCGATGGTGCTGCTAATAACCTTTCAACACAAGTTCTTAAATTATTTTATGACTATTTTCATTGACTATGTGGACCATGTGTATGTTCACCTCAATAAAACACATGAAAATTTGATGGGGATGCTTTTTATTTTTTTAATTTTTATTTCAGGCTTAAGTTCTGGTGTTTATTCAGCAGTGAAATATGAATTTATTATTACAAAAATATTCATATTTATCTGGTATTCATTAAATCCCAGTTAGATTTATGACAGAATTGATCTTGGCACTTTATCTGAATGTTTAACTGTAGCAATATATTACATTTTAAAATTTTTATTTTGATGGGAAAGCAAGAGGGCAGTTCTTTATTCCAGGATGGTTATTTGTAGAACCCAGTTCCTTAGTGCTGGAACAATAAAAGCCAGGTTGGAAGCAGGCCTGCCATCTTTAAGTGTTACCATGGTTACAGAAATCCCAGGGGATTTTATTCCTGAAAATATTCCCTTTCATCCGTGCTGGGAACGCAGCGCTGCCTCAGGAGATGAAAGCAGCAGCCTGTCCAAACTGCATCCTGCAAGGATTTATTTCTGTGGATGTGGGCAGGCACCTCAGTCCATGAAGCTGTGCTGTGATGTTGAAATTCTGCCCCAGATGGGGAGGAAAGGCTGCAGAGGCCACAAGCGCGTGTGGCAACTGCCTGCCAACAACCTCTGCAACAACAGTAATTACCTGTTTCCAATTAGCTGGCACTGAGCCTGCCAAAGAGCGACTGTAACACCTCGGTGAGATCACTGTGTTACTGCTTGCAAGGGAAATATGCAAAAGAAAAAAAGATTTATAGTGAATTTCCCAGGATTTATAGTGAATTTTTGCTCTACACAGAAGCAAAATTTAGGTTTCCATAGAATTCTGCAGCACTCAGAAATGTGAGCCTCACTGAAGTTTTCTCAAGCAGTTGTAAACTTGGGCTTCTCCATCTTTTGGCTTTTCTTTTTTACTCTTAATAAATGAATCCAACCCTGCAGTTTTTCCTGGGGAAGCTGCTGGCTGATGGTCAGGATTAATGCACTGGCAGCAGTTTCCTCCTGGGTGTACTTTCCCCACCTTTTTCCTCATTTGACGTCTCTGAAATGAATATTCAAAGCTGAGACAGGGGAATTGACACCCGATAAGTTCACAGAGGCTCCTTTGGTGAGATCAAACCCGAGTTCAAACTTTTTGTTGCGAAATAAAGCTGTGATCTGTGCAAACCTGCTCCTAGGCACTTTGTGGATGTTTTCAGCCACTGCCTCATTCTTCTGGTATGTGTGTGATGGTGTTGTCACAGGAGTCAGGTGCATTCCCAGAGCAGGTCACCCCCTCCTGACCCGGTGCCACTGTCTGGAAACCTGAACCAGGGCCCTGTGTGTCACCCTGAGGCATCTGGGCACTGCTGGACACCTGTAAACATAAATCACACCCTGGCTGGGCTGCAGGAGAGCTGAATCACCCACGAGCAGGGACACCTCCCACTGTCCCCGGCTGCTCCAAGCCCTGTCCAGCCTGGCCTTGGGCACTTCAGGGATGGGGCAGCCACAGCTGCTCTGGGCACCGTGTGCCAGGGCCTCACCACACTCACAGGGAACAATTTCTTTCTATAATAAAAATCTACCCTCTGGAAGTAGCCATACCCCATGTCCTGTCACTTCAGGCCCTTGTCCAGTCTCTCTCCATGGCTCTTGGGGCCCCTTTTGAGGCCGCTCCTCAGCCGTGTCTCCAGCGCTGCCACAGCACCCGAGCTCTGAGGGGCAGCAGCTCAAGAACCTGCGCTGTCCCTGAGCTCTGCGGCTGCAGCTGGGGACACCTCGGCCCCGGGGCCTTTCCCCCTTCCTGGGACTATCTGCCTGCGGCGTTCTGCCCCTCGGGATCACTCACGGTCCCTCAATGCCCCTCACGGTCCCTCATGACCCCTCATGGTCCCTCACAGCCCCTCAGGCCCCCTCACAGTCCCTCAGGCTCCCTCACAGCCCCTCAGGAGCCCTCACAGCCCCTTAATGTCCCTCAGTCTCGCTCACAGTCCCTCAGGCTCCCTCTCAGCCCCTCAATGCCCCTCAGGCTCCCTCACAACCGCTCAGGATCCCTCACGGTCCCTCAATGCCCCTCAGGTTCTCTCAGCCCCTCAGGCTCCCTCACGTCCCCTCAGGATCCCTCTCAGCCCCTCACGTCCCCTCAGGCTCCCTCACAGCCCCTCAGGATCCCTCTCAGCTCCTCAATGCCCCTCAGGATCCCTCTCAGCCCCTCAATGCCCCTCAGGCTCCCTCACGACCCCTCACGGCCCCGCCCACCAGACCCCGCCCCAAGTGACGTCACCGAGGGGCGGGCGCGCTGCGGGCAGGCCGCGGCGCCGCTCGCCGGGAGAGAGGCCGGGCAGGTCGCGGTGTTTGGTGTGGGGTTGCTCAATAGCGGCGGCGGAGGGTGCCCAGGCCGCCGCCGGGGCTCCGGAGGGTCGGGCGGCCCCGCGGTGCCCCGGGCTGAGGCGCGGCCGGGCCGAGGCCCAGGGCCCGAGCTGAGATCGGCCCCGGAGCTCGCTTCCCCGCGGGCCGGGCCGGCACAAGGTGCTGGCACTGAGGGCACGGCAGGGGCGGGGGTGAGTTCATCCTTTCCGTGACATTTCCGCCTTTCAGGGTTCCTCGGTGCGTGTGTCAGGCTGCTGGTGTGGTGCTGAATGTTTTGTTATTAATTATTGTTTTGCTGTCAGTTCCTGAGTGGTTGTCCTGCCTCCCTTCATGGGCTGGCCCTTGCAGAGTGTGGCCTGACGTGGAATGATGCTGATAGCTGATACCACCGTGGGGATTTGGCTTTTTCTTTGACTTTGTGAGCGGGTTTGGGGTGGGGACACACCACAGAGCAGCTGAGGGGGTTCCCTGAAGAGCTGGCTGGGGTCTGGGCTGCTCCTCGAGTGCTTTCTGCCTCTAGGAACGTCACACACAATTTCCCCCTGGAGAACAGGAGTGTGAAGGAGAGCTTGAGGATGGCACAAAAAGCTGACATAAAGCAGGAGAATGTGTGAGCTGCAGTGGAACCCATATTTTCAAGAGTGCAGTGCGCTGCAATTGTGACTGCACGTTATTTTTGTATAATTGTTCTCTGAGACAGCAGCCCATTAGGAAATAGTGGGTTGTGTAGTGCTGATGACAGGTGTGTACCTGCACCACTATCTTTAATCATGGAATCATGGAGTGGTTTGGCTTGGAGGGCTCCTGAAAGATCATCTAGTGCAGTTTGGGATCATTTTCCCCTTTATCACGCCGCTCTGTGGGGTTTGTTTTTTTATTTTCCCATTCTATGAACTGCAGTGATTGAACCAGTCGCCCGCTTGGTGCGCGACCTTTTTTCCTCATTAAAAAAAGTGCTGTAAAGAGTCCTGCGGGCCTGTGGAAGTGCAGTTTCTCTGCTGCCACCCTGAAGAACCCGTGGGATAAGCAGTGCTGTGGAACTGTCAGTGAAGGTGCTGTGCTCGTTGCAGGTGTGAGCCGCAGCCATGGCCGCGGAGTCGCCGCGCCGCCCCAGCCGCTGCACGGGAGGAGTGCTGGTTCGCCCTCAAGCTGCCACGTAAGAACCTTCTAGAAGAACAGCCCTTACTGAAAAGCCTTGCTTTTCTTGTGGAACAACCCCAGCCTGAGCTGCTTTGGGTTTTTCCCCCCAAGGCCAGCTTGTGTTGGCGCTGCGTTGACTCCGGTGCAGTCAGCGCGTGGCGTTTCTGTCTCCCCGAGTGGGATCCCACCCTTTGCAATCCACACCAAAGCTGTGTCTTTAAAAGCTGATTGCTGCGAAGTTTTTGTTGTTGTTTGCACCATTTTGCTGTACAAACGTTGCAATGTAGAAGAGTGATGCCAACTTCTTCCTTAGGCCAGGGGGCTGTGCCATGTGTGATCCTTTCTTTTAAACAACACCTTGTCCCAGAGTGGATTTATTAAAACATACAAAACTTGTCATTAAAGTCCTCCAGGAAGAAGAATTGTGGGATTTTTTTTAATATTAAAAGAACAAAACCAAGGAAGAAAGAAGAAGCTCCATCCTTCTGGTCAGAGCACCTGACAAACACTTTTTGTGCCTGAGCATCCTGATTTTCACTGTGTGCACATGGGAATGCTTTCATGGCAAAAGAGCCTTTTGGCTGTATGGCAGCCTAGAAGATTTATGGCCTTTGTCTGTTAAAGGAGTTTTGTAGCAATTTTTCTTTCTTCCTTGGGATTTTATGCTGCTGCAAAATGGCACTTTGTGGAAATGTCCACTTCAGGGGATGTTACTGTGCCCTTGGAGATAACTCTGTGTTTCCAGATACAAAATTCACTTCATTTTTGTTGAAGATCACAAGAAACTGATTGTTGTAGCACAAAAAATTGTGATAGAACTTTGTCCTGCAGCCATTTTTTTTTTAATGTGGCAAAATTCCTCAACAAATGCATTTCTTCTCTGTAACAACATTTTCTTCAAAATGTGCTTTAAAAGTGTTATAATAGAAAAACACTGTAAGGAGTTGATTGTCTGTTCTGAAGATGATTCTGTTCTTTTTTTAAACATGGTGTTTTGTTCTTGAGGTACCTGTTAGTGCCTCAAAAATGTCACTCTTTTTGGTGAATCTGTGTGTGCTGAGCACCCAGCAGCATTCTGTTGCTCATGTTAACTTTTTACATCATCATTAAAGGAAGATTGGGCTTTTTTTTGTGGATTATGTTGTTTTTAACCACTTCAAAGACATCTCCCTGGAATTTTTTCAACTTTGGAGGAGATTTAGTGCACACACTCTGAATAAAACACCTCCCAAACACCAACTTGGGTTCAAGACATGCTTGGGGAGAGGGGAAAAAGTCATTGCATGAGCTGAACATGAGGGCAGCATGACTCTGGCTGGCTGGCATTCCCAGGACAGCTTCAGCCACTGTGTTTACTGCTCTGGCTGTGGCCAGGCATTTTAATAAAGGTGTGCAGGGGCACCTTGGGTGACCTACATAAATCAGAGAAGAATCAGCACAGGAGAAACCACAGCTCAGTTTGTAAGGCCTCAGCCTGGAGCTGAGTGGGACAGTCTGGGATGCAGAAATCCTGGGATGGCTTGGCCATGGGCTGGAGTAGGCTTTCTGGCATGTAAAGCTTCATATTTCAGATTTATCTCTGTTTGCAAAGAGGTGTTGCAGCATTTGGGTTCAAGTATCTTCTGTATGGTCATGCGTAGACCTAAATTCTCCACAGTGCTGCATTTTTCAGTGCTAAACACTCCTGGGTTTATTAAAACAATCTTGCCCAGCTTCAGAAAACAGCACTTTTGGCCATCCAGAGTTCCTAATTTACAGTTCTCCTTTGTTGCTATGAGAAATCTTGAGTTGGCACAGGAAAAAATTACAACAGCACAAAAATTAATTTCGGAGCTGCCAAAGCTGTTGCCTAAAGAAAACCTGAAGGCTTTTCTTAAATAATCTCAGACTTCCCGAGGGTAGCTGTTGTTGCCAGAGTGTTTCAAGTGTTCCTCATGGCTCAAAGCACCAAATTTCTGCAGGGCTGCAGCAGCATCTGCTGCTCTCAGCCCACGCTGTGGCTGCTCAGCCCTTGCACAGGGACTCCCTGCTCACAGCACTGCCTTAACTCTGCCCCAGCAAACGTGTCTTGCATTTCAACCCTCCCAGTGGATGCTGCTGGTGAGCTTCCAGCAGGGAATGAGCTTCCCAAGTGTACAGTCTCACCTGGACATGCCTCTCCTTGCTCTTAGGGAGGGTTTTGTTCCATCCCCTGGGCACTGCCAGCTTTGGCCATCCTGCACAGGAGCTCTGGGGTTTGTTTGTGCCCACCAGGAGAGCTCCAGTCATTGTTTAAATCCTCATTTTTACATTTCATTCAAGTAGGAAAATCCTGAGGAATGATTTCCAAATCCCTGTATCACTTCAGGCCTCTCTGATGTGGAGGACATGCCTTATTCCTTGAATTTAGATTTTATATTTCCCCCAAGCAGTTACTCCATCAGCAGCTATCACTTGGCTTTTTTACAGACTTTTATTACTCTTAGTCCTTCCATAACTTAGAGGCCACAAATTTATGTTATCAGAATTTGGCAGTAAAAGTAAGTGCCTGCACTGCATGCTTAGTGTCCTGCTATGTGCTAAAGGTTGCCCATGCCTCCTTTTGCTGACCTAATTGAATAATTCATGACCATTTCTGAACTCCTTTGGCTGAAATTCTCCTTCTGTTTTCCAGGGAACAGTCCTACATGGAAAGTGTTGTTACCTTCCTCCAGGATGTTGTGCCACAGGTAGGGTGTGGATCTTTAAAACCACTTTTTTTTCAGTGCACAAACAAGCAGTGTCAGGGATCCTCACTCTGCTTTGTAAATTTATTACTTCACCTAATAAAGAAATCATTTTAATAGGTTTATTTCTATATTTTAGTATATTTATACATAATAAATATGGCACTGGAAGGGTCCCTTCCTGGTTGCCCATGTAGCAGAAGGGAACTAATTTTGTTTTACTCTTAGAGGAGCACTGCAGCTGAATTTAGCTTCAGGAAATGATCCTGATTCTGATTCCAAGCAATGATTTAGTGTCTTGTTTCCTCATGAATTTCCTCTTAGGAATTCCCAGTGCATTTATTGTGTAATAATACAAAAACAATGCCCTCAGTAATATCAATTTGTGGAGTGAATTTCGGACTCAGGGTTAAAATTAGACATAATGAAAGTTTCAGTTAAGAGATTGCTGCATTCCACAGCCTCCCATTGCCCCTCTCTGGGAAAAGGACACAGTCTGTGTTTTATTTTCCACATCAGCTTGCCCTGGAAGCGTGGAATGTGATTTGTTTTGAAAAGCAAACCCCACACTTATTTTTCACATTTGTATTTTTAGTCCATGTTGTTGCTTTTCTGGCATGTATAAAGTGATTATACAAGATGTGTTCATATTTAATCCCAAATAGTGCTCAGTATTTTGTTATAATCACTTGGAAGTGCTGCTGTTTCTGCTGGTTCCTGCTGCCACAGCTTCTCCTGAGGACTGTAAAACCTCCAGGCTGGAAACACTGCAAGTCTCACTCCACAATTCCTTTTTGTATCTCATCTCTTTATGGGAATCTGCAGAACACAGGGCTGAAACATGGATCTGTTCTCCTGGAGTTGCAGTTTATTCTCTTTTAAATGGCTGCATTAAAGTTGTCACAAACAGAACTGAAAGGTGTCAGTAATATAAACTCTGCAGTAAAGGTCTCTTTCTTCCCTCAGTCTGGCTTGCAAAGCTTTTAAGTGAATTAAAGAGAATTTTAATGATAAAACACCTCATGTGAGAACCTCCAACACTGCTAAAATTAAAGACTCTAGAAGCCACTGTGTTTAATTTTATTAACTCAACTCTAAGTGACGTGGCATTTACCTGCCCCAGAAGATTTATTGGTAAAATATTTTGTCTTTCCTGCATCAGTGAGTGATGTTCAGCATGGTTGTGTTGTGTGAATACTGGTGACAGTGAGCTCCATGGATCATCACTGTGGTTTTTAGTGTAATTCCTTCTTACAGGGGGAGGGAAACCACTGTTAATTTTGTTTCAACCCTTTGCTTTTTGTCCAGGCCTACAGTGGAACCCCACCAGAAGAGAAAGAGAAAATTGTCTGGGTCAGATTTGAAAATGCAGATTTAAATGGTATGGCTTCATTTTCTCCCACTTGTTCCTCTGAGTTTTGGGTGCAATAATTCCAGTCAGCTTTCTCAGTATAGAATAATCATAAACATTGTGATTTTTTTGGGTAAAACCCCTCTTAAATGACATTTTCCACCATGAGAGAATGAGCAAAGCTCACTGAAAGCATGGAAGCATCAGAGACAGAAGATTTATTTGGGGTGGTGAAAGAGGATGTTTCCAGGCCCAGTCAGAACAGGCTGCATAAAATAAATGTAAACACAACATGAGGGGTTCTGAAGAATATTCCAAAGAGTTTTGTTATATGAACCTAAAAAGGAAATGCCTGAGATGTTATAAAAAATAAAGAGAAAACAAACCCACAAGCAAACAAACCTTAACTGGCCCAAGATGGCCATAAAACCACGTGGAGATTATAGATAATTTCTAGTTCTGATAACCCTGAGTTAGGTTTGATTTAAGTTCACTCCATCCCTGACCTTTCTTTTTAAAAAAAAGGGAACAGGGATGAACAGGTGGCAGAGCTCAGGTCTGAAAGGGGAATCAGTCACCATTTTCTCTTAGACCATGCTGTTATCCAGTACATTTTTCTCCAATCTTTTAAATTTTGAAGCTTTCTCTTTGTGAAACTTTAAGAATATATTTCAGTATTGCTCCAGCATGAAAACGTGAAGCACTGTGGTTGCTTTTAGTCCTGACAACTGAGGGAACACCATCAAATATTGCTGAGAGCTTGATCCTGACTCCTACTAATGGCTTGGCTGTTGAAATGTCCTTCAGATACGTCCAGGAATATGGAATTCCATGAAATCCACAGCACTGGGAATGAGCCCCCGCTGCTGCTGCTGATCGGCTACAGCGACGGGATGCAAGTGTGGAGCATTCCTGTGAGTTCTGAGCCCTTCCTTCCTTCCTTCCTTCCTTCCTTCCTTCCTTCCTTCCCCTGCTCAGTTTTGTGTTCAAACTCGAATATTTCACCTTGAATTTCTCACAGGAGCATTCCTGTGAGTTCGGAGCTGCCCCCTCCTTTCTTCCCCTTTTCCTTGTCTATTTTGTGTCCCAGTTTCAATATTTTACCTTGAATTTCTGCCATTGGAGGGAAGGAGCCAACACTTCCCATCAGTGTCTCGTGGACTGTGTGTGGTGTGCTTATCTTCAGATAATCCTGAGCACAGCTCAAACACTTCAGTTCATGTACCTGCAGATTTTTGAGGGCTTTTTACACTTTATTCCTGCTAAATCCATTTCCACACTCAAACTGGGAGCAGTGTTTGCCATTCTGGAATAATTTCTAGTCCCGAAACAAAACTGGATTTTGTTTTTTAACAGAAAAGAGTAAGGTTTTTTTTTTTTAAAAAGACAACAGGATTTGTTTGTCCCAGGAACTGCAGTATGACAGTATCAATAGTATTTTACAATCCCATGTTTGTCATGGACATGATTTGCAATTTTAATTTTATGAAGGCCTCTGTTGCATATGGATTTGATTTCATGCTGTCATCCCCATCCCCTGGTTTGTGTTGCTGAGTGGTTTCTGGGGCACGTGGTCTTCATTTGGGGAATTTCCCCCAAATTGCTCCAAATGAGAGAATAAAGTTGAGTACAGTAGGTCATAAAATTCTGAACTTAAAAAAGCAAAATTGCTCACAACACTCTTATCCTTCAGAATAAAGCAGAGAGGATGGAGTTCTTTCCCTTTGTAAAATACACTTTTTTAAAAGAAATGTGTACATTTTACAACTTTCTGTGTAGAACATGTGTTTATATACCAGTTGCTTAGAAATTAATGTTAATTTCTACAGCAAAAGTTCAGTTTAATTGAGTTTTATGGGTGTGGTAGGGCTTTCCCCCTCTTGATTGCATCTCATTATCCTCTTGATTGCATCTCATTAGCACGAATGAGGAAACAAGCTGGTGAGGTTTTGTGTTTGAAGGAATGTTTAACAGGAATAGTTGAGTACAGTAGGTCATAAAATTCTGAACTTAAAAAAGCAAAATTGCTCACAACACTCTTATCCTTCAGAATAAAGCAGAGAGGATGGAGTTCTTTCCCTTTTTAAAATACACTGTTTTTTAAAGAAATGTATACATTTTACAACTTTCTGTGTAGAACATGTGTTTATATACCAGTTGCTTAGAAATTAATGTTAATTTCTACAGCAAAAGTTCAGTTTAATTGAGTTTTATGGGTGTGGTAGGGCTTTCCCCCTCTTGATTGCATCTCATTATCCTCTTGATTGCATCTCATTAGCACGAATGAGGAAACAAGCTGGTGAGGTTTTGTGTTTGAAGGAATGTTTAACAGGAATGGAATTAGACATAATATACTTCGCTAAATTTCAGTATTTTGGAACTGTTTATTAAAATTTAAGAACCGAAACTTGGGAAGATTTCAGCCGAAAATGGGATTTTCTCTCGCGGTGCGTTTACACCGAGCGTCCACACGAGGGCGCTGGGACACCGAGCTAAGAGCGGCCGCACACCTCATCAATCATCAATTAATTAATTAATTACCATCCCCTGAGCGTCACGTGGGCTTGAGCTCAGTCATCCTCACAAAACACCCCATTTTACCCAGCTGAAATGCTTTTATCCGAACGAACCTGTGTTTTCTGCTAAAAAAAGGGAGATTTGTTGCCATGGATGGATGGTTTAATTTTTCTTTCTATCTTTTTATTTTATTTTTTTCCTTCATTGTGTCCAAATGAGCCACAAGTTAGGCCATGGAATGCCTGATTTTGCCTTCTTTCTAGTAGGACAATACAGCCAGGCTTTTTTCTTTCCCCCCAAATGTATTTCACTTAATAATTCCTGGCTTTTGATAATATTTGCTATTTCAGGAAAAATAACAAAAATTAAGTTGCAGGACAGCTTCTCTTAGTGTTGTTCAATTTTTGCAGAAGTTTGAGCAGGGAGGAAGTGCAGTGAAATGGAGAAAATGCCAAATGTGGAAATATTTTACCATCCACCTTGAGAATGTCAGCTGTGGGGATATTGCATCATTTTGCCAGCCCTTTATTTGTATATTCTGTGAAATTCTGAGAGCACGGCCAGGGAGGTGCAGCTTGGACCTGGACACTGTGTTACAGCAGTGTTGGAATGGCTCCTCTGGTAGATTTTCACAAAATAATGATCTTTAACATCAGCTTTAAATATCTTTGCTGAGCAGGATTTGTATATCCAACAAATTCAGAGGGAAAATAAACTGGAGGAGGTTTTTCATAAACTGGAGGGGTTTTTCATAAACTGGAGGGGGTTTTCCACATTGTTGCTTCTCCTTTGTGTTTCCCCCCTTGCTTAGCCTGAGCACAATAAAACCTGGCAGCTATGTGATTGACTTAATATTTAAGAGCTTATTTGGCAACACTTTTTTGTGCCCTTTGCTATTACACAAACCTTCCTTCTTGGCCCCAGTGACTATTTAGCTTGTAATTAAGCAATGTTATTCCAGCTAAGGAAAAAAAAAAAACCAAAAAAACCCAACCAGTTGAATCTGCAAAAGCAGCAATCTGACATTTATGTGCAAATCTCCTCGGGAAAGTCATTATCTGTAGCATTGTGCTGTTTTATTCCTACAATTGGCCCTCTATTGAGCACTTAATAACGTGTTGCAGGCAGCAGGGGTTGTGTGTGAGTGATTATGAAGTGTTTATGACAGCTCCTAAGCCCACACTCCTGCTAATGGTGCTGCACACCTCGCTGCAGTGTCTGCGAGCTGAGAGTGCTTTCACATGAACATCTCCTCCCAGGAAGATCTTTGGAGCACCAGAGTGGGATTTGCAGAATGGGAGATGCCATTAGGGACCTTCAAAGGGCTCGGGGTGCTGTCTGGGGGAGCCTGGCTTTGCTAGGGCAGCTCAAGGTGTCCATCCCAAGGGCTGGGCTTTGATCTCTGCTCTCAGATGGGGGTGGGAGGTTAAAAGTGGGCTTAAAATACTCCTGCCTAAGTGGGGAGGAATCTGGGAATACACTGGGAGTTCCTGTTTGATAGTGGGGCCGTGGAGTTGTGTGTTTTGGTTGGAAGTTGTTTTTTGCCTTGCTCCCAGTTTCGTGTTTCAGAGACAACTGGAACTGGTTTCTGCCTGATGTGGTTTCCAAGGATCTGTTCTGGATGTTCCTGTTCAGGGAATGCACGTTGGCTGCTTTTTTTTGTTGTTTTCATTGTAGGCTGGGAGTTTCAGAAGTAGAAAAATCATCTTAATGTAATTCTTGTGACAATTAAAAAAAGAAACTTATCACATCCCAAGGTGCAGCCCTGCCTCTGTCCAGGTCTTTTTCTAGAGGGAACCACTTGCATGTGCCACTCAGAAAAATGGAGTAAAGACCTGACCTAGTGACCCTGAAAAATGTCTGAGGACTTTACAGAGCACCTATGCAAATCATTTGCTGAGGTTTTGGGTTTTTTACACTGAAGAGGCACCAGTGTGCAAGAAGTGTGGTTTTATAAAACTTCTGGTTCAATTAGCACTGCCATAATTTAAAGTACTTGGTGCAACTTATCCTCAGTCCAGCCACTGGAGTAACACTCCTTGAGCATCTAAACTCTTACAGTCTCTAGATAATTACAGAGATCTGGTTTGAATGCAAAAGCTGAGTGAATTTCTAAACTAAAGTGATAAAATTGTTCATTTTCTTCCAGTCCTTCCTTGCTTGCTCAGCAGCAGCAGGACTGGAAGTTGCCTTTGACCCATATGCAGCAATATTTGGTAGTGGTATCTATTAATTGCTTATTATCATATTGTAATGTCATATCATGATACCTTCATGTATAAAACATACACCAGAGTATTTAAAAGCAACCTCCAGATCATTCCCTTTTCCTGTTACACATTCCCCAGTTTCCATTTCTAGATTTGCACAGTAGTTCAAGCATTGAGTTCCAAACTCCCATTTTGTTTCACTTTGGTCTATGTTTGGCTCTCCTTTTTTTTTTGTTTAATTTTTTTTTCCCGTGTGAAAACCATTTTCTCTGGTTGGAAACTATTACTTGTCCTTGGTGTGAACAAAACTTCCTTTGTTCAGCTTTTTTTCTGGGTGCAAACTGGTGTGCTCCAAGCAATGCAGCTGTGCCATCAAAAACGACCCAGTGCTGCACACTCCTGGCCCGTCATGTTTTAAGCAGTAGCTCAAGATCTCTTAAGTGGAGGAGAAGATTCTTCTTCCTCCTTTAATGAAGACTTTTTTTTGGGGTTTGAATCCTTCACTTCAGCCTTCCCTGTAGGTCTGGGAGTTGTGCTTGGTGCCAGGTTTTGGGAAAGCTGAGATGTTCTACCAGAGCAGCTTGGAGCCGTCATTTTGGATTCCCTCTTCCCTGCAACGAGTACCTGAAGCTGCTTTTACAGCTTAATATCCAATTCTTGAAACCTGTTTGGAAATATTCTTGGCTTTTGGAATGGGAAAGAAAAACTTTTAAGAGCTCTGAGAGCTGCCACGGGGACTTGCTACTTAGCTGGATCCAATCCAGCATGGCAGCCACAGCCTCGTTTCTCACAGGTGCTTTTTGAAGAATTCAGAGCTCTGTTTTCAATTCATGAGCTCTATTTATGTTTTGTCTGTGCACGGGAGACTGTGGAGCTCCAGGGACTGCTAATGGGATGTGGAGCCTTTGGCTGGGAGGTGCCAGCCCACAGGTGACCCCTGTCCCCTCAGTGTGTCCCCTGGTCCCTCTTGGGCTCCTGGTGGGGTGAGTGTCCCATTTGCAGGGGATGAGCACTGATGTAAGGGCTGGAGAGGCAGAAGATGAGGCCACACAGTCTCTGTCCTCCCCAGGAGGTGCTGCAGGCAGATTGGATCTGTGTGACCTCAGCAGTGAAGTTTTATCCACAGATAAATGAAGGGCAGTAGCATTAATCACAGTTAATTCTGGGTAATTAAATACCTGTAATCTCATTTTAGTCCCTGTTGGATCCTGTGCCTTTTGTTACTCTATTTAACCTTACTTTTTGAATTTCCCCCAGCATAAAATAATAAATGATCTTCAAATAATGAATATTAATTATTCAAGATTTTTGTAAGACTGCAAACAGCAGAAGCTTCTGGTGGTGGTGGTGGTGTTTGAGAGAAGTTAATTGGAATTCAAAGAAAATCCTGAACTCGAAGCCCTAATGCATTTTTCAGTGCCAAGCAAACCAAGAAACAACCAAGCTCTGACTAATTCATGGCAGACTCAGCATGCAGTGTCTTCCACGAGTTAAGGACACCCAGCTCAAACCCCCTGAAAAAGCTGTCACTTTGTGAAGCTGGGCTAGATTAAATATTCGTGTTTTAAAGGTATCAGTGTTGTGGTGTCACATCCGGAGTTTTTGGAAAGTTTATTTTGTGCCTGTTAGGGAATTTGAATTTTCTTTACAAGTGAGATGCTGGTGGTTGGGTGGCATCTTTTATTTTCATTACAAAGCCTCCACTGGGGGTGTATCTTAAAATTTGATCCTTTTTTAGCTCCCAGGAGTCAGCAAATGCTGGGCACTTGAGCTGTAGAGGCTGAACCCAAACCATTCCATGATTCAGAATGCTACAGGGACTGAGCAGAGGACCTGTTAACTACAGTGCTCTCAAAACAGGGGCTAAATACCTGTAATCTCATTTTAGTCCCTGTTGGATCCTGTGCCTTTTGTTACTCTATTTAACCTTACTTTCTGTAATTTCCCCCAGCATAAAATAATAAATTATCTTTAAATAATGAATATTAATTATTCAAAAAATACTTCATTACATGCATGAGAAGAGCTGGGCTGGGATTTCCATGTTAAATGCTTCAGTACAAATAAACCTCATTTGTATTTGGACGTTTCTAGCTTTTCTTTGCAAGTCTCAAGTCTAAGCTGTGCCAGGTCTTGGCACCCCAGGCTGGATAAACATTCTCCTGGAGTTCAGGATATTTAAGAGCAGAACCTGAGTTAAGAAGGTTTGGCCCTCTCAGTGTGTCTTCCTTTGGGGACTGGAGCTTTTGGAGGTGGGTTGGAGCTGGGGCTGGTGTGCTGGCAGGGATGAAAAGCAGAGGGAGGTGTGTGAGCTGCTTGGGATATTTTATGGAATCACTCCTTCCCTGCCTTTGTTGTGCTGGTTCCTTTCCCTCCTGTTTTCATTCCTAGCCAGAGATGTGCACACACGTGTGAAACAGCATTTTCATGGTTTGGGGGAAAAATCTTTCATTGCCAATAATAATAGTTCCCAAAGCTTCTATTTTTCTTCTTTTCCATTTCCTCCTTTCCCTTTGCATAGAGCTGCTGTGTTCCAGTGGACAGAAAACGTGCTGCTGTCTTAATTTTTTACATCTCTTCATTGCTCTGTCCCTCTTTAATTTTCCTCATTTTCTGCTTAGCTGTGCTCTACGTTTTCCTGAGCTGTTTTTTCTGGATACAGATATTTTCATCCAGAGGCTTTTTTTCCCCTCCCCACACTGTACTTCAACCTCATGGTCAGTTAAAAGCCATCAGCAAACCTTTAATGAGTTGGTGTCATTAACAGTGATTTTAATTGATAAACTGCTGGGCTAAAATGGCTTAAAAAGTTATTTCCCCACATTTGTGTAGCTTGTGTGTAATTCCAGGCTTAACAGGGAGAAGCAGCAATTCTCTGCATTGTGTGCAGAATGGTGGCTTAGCTCTGTAGTAAATGGTATTTTCAAAGTAATTTTATTTATAATTGTGCTTCAGGGGGTGGGTTTCATTCTCCCCCATGACCCAGAGCAGTGATAATAAATAACCAGGCAGGAGAGGATGTAAGCTGAGAGCCTGGAGTACTGTACTTGGGATTTGCTGGTCAAACAGTAGGAGTATTTTAACTTTTTGGACGTGTGAGCTGAAGTGCAGAAAGAAATGGAAACAACCATAAAATGACATTTCCAAATTCCACTTGAATTTATAGTTTATTGATTTCTAAGAACCTTATTCCAAATCATGTTCTCTTCTGATATTGTAAGCTGCTTGTTTGGCAAAACTTTATGCCAGCCTTGGCTGTGTTCTGAGGCTCATTACATCTGTTTTAAGTTGTTGGTTAGCTGGAAATGAGCTTCATAATGTTTGCCATTTTCCTGGAGTTTGACATTCCATATCGGATCCATTTCCAGGCAGTTATGAAAATACATTGAGTGACCATTGCAGGAAGTCTGGGAATTCATCTTAACTGCTTCTGGTTTAATCTTTTCAACATTGCCATCAGTGGCAGGCTTAAGTAGCTTGACCAGCAATTTTTAAACATGGTTTTCACACAAACTGGTGAGCTTGAAATGAACCAATATATGAAATTCTCCCAACTTTTTCCACCCATGTTTGCCACTCTTGACTGATTTCTGGTGAGCTGGCATTTTCCTTTAGAACCATGTGAAATATGGGATAAATTTTTGGGAATTTTAGTCAGCTTCAGTCTCGCTCCTTCCAAAACCTGTGTGGTCATGAATGGTTAATTCAAGACTTGTTATATATATATTTTTTTCAATTAGAAAACAAATTTTTGGGAATTTTAGTCAGCTTCAAGTCTCGCTCCTTCCAAAACCTGTGTGGTCATGAATGGTTAATTCAAGACTTGTTATATATTTTTTTTTTTTCAATTAGAAAAGCAGCAGTGGTTGCTTAGGCAGAGTCTTCCCAATATACCTCCCTACGATGCCATTCTGCCTCCCTCCTCAGCCGTGGAACAGATGTGTTTTTGCAGGTGTAAAGTGTTTTTTGGCCTTTGCAGATCAGCGGGGAGGCTCAGGAGCTGTTCTCGGTGCGCCACGGGCCGGTGCGAGCCGCTCGGATCCTGCCAGCTCCCCAGATCAGTGAGTACCCCCACAGCCCCCACAGCCCTGAAAGGCTGCTCCTCTGCACTTAAACTAACAAAACACAGCATTTGTGTTTGGGGTGGCTCTGCCTTCTGGTTATTTCACATGAACTTTACTCACTTTGGCCCTTTCAGTGGTTTGCATTTTGTCATCCTTGAGTGCAGCTCCTCTCTGCCTCTGCTTAAACACCATTTTATCAAGTCCTAAACCAAGCTGCTTGATTTAACAGGATTCTTCCAGAAGTTGAGTTAGCCCTGAGTAGAACTTGCTGCAAAATCTGAGCAACTGTGCACAAACAAGCAAATTCCTCTAAAAAAATGACCCTGTTCCATCCAAACCCAATCTAATTGTTGGCTTCTGAAAGAGCTGTTTGGGTCTAAATTAAATTGATTGTTTTACTTTGTGGATAAAAAGAATTTCACCAAGGTGTTTGGGGACTATGCTGGATTAGAATTTCTAGTAATATTTTATGAATTAATTAATAAACTCAAAGAATACAGCCTAAAATCTTATTATTTAAATTATTCGTAGTAAATTGTACTGATTTTGTGTGTTTCAAAGAATGTGTAATGGACATGTTATACATTGTTCTGGGGATTTCCTAAGCAGAGGAATATACAAAGCATCTGTGGCTGTGTCACTATTACAGGTTAAACTAACTTAGAGTGAAATACTTCCCAAGCCTTTATTCCATTTATTGGAACCCTGCATAATTCCCAACCCTGCATAATTCTCTCTTGCTATTATGAGTGTCATTGAGTGATGGATGTCTGTGCCCCTTCCTCTCTAGAAGGAAAAAAAAAGGAGAAAGAAGTGGAAATGAAATTAAATTAAAATGAAGTAAATTAATTGAAGGACCTGGGAGTTCTGTTTTTTCTGGTATTAGAACAGGTTTTTGATTTTTCAATCAAGAAAATCACACTCATGAACTCCTTCAAGCAGTTATTGTCTTTCTGCCCCTAAATTCCATATATTTAGCATGTGACAATGATAGTTGTTACATTAGAAAACTATTCAAATTAGCTCATATTAAATTAAACCAAACCTTTTAAAAACATGTTTTGGTCTCTTTTTACATAGCTTGGTTTAAATAAATCTTTGATTAAAAGTACATGAATGTATCATTGACCAGTATCTGGAATCAGATAAAAGTAAAGCTGTAATAAGAGGCCTTAGATAACCAACTCATGAGCTTTAATGATTCTGAACGAAATAAAAGGAATTTGTAAAGGAGAAGCTGATTACCATCAGCAGGCTCAAACACTGTTTTACTGTAAAGCTGTAAAAAGGGAATTATTGAAAATAGGAGTCTCTTGGTGGATGGATTTGGCACGTTCCTAGAAACAGATCTGAGCTGGTGATAAGCAGCAGCTCATTCCCAGGTGTGAAAGGAAAGCTCATGGCTTTAACTTGGTGACTTTACAGCAGCAGAACTTAATAGTTTGTCAACTATTTCATTAAAAAACTGCAGCCCTTTGATGTTAGATCCTGTGCCTCGTGGTGTGCCTCGTGGCATAATGAAGCCTTGTTTCAGAGGCATTATTTCCAGCAGGGGATCTCCTGCAGCAGGAGCCTGGGCAGGTTTTTAGCTCCTGGAGCTGCTGGCACTGGCATCTGTGCCCTCTCTGGGCTGGCCCAGCTCTGCAGCATCACTTTGGTGTCCTGCTCTGCAGCCTGGAGGAGATGGCCGTGAGAATTGAGGCATTTCTGTAAATAATCCTAAACCTTCCAGATATCAGCCCCTCTCCTTGGTCAGGTCACACCTGCCAGGCCTTCAGTAGGCAGGGCTTTAATTATTCTGTCAGTTTAATTATTCTGTGCAGTTTCATTATTCTGTGCAGTTTGCAACATACATTTTTGGAGACTGAGGCTTTGCTTAGGCAGACTGTGACCAGATTTTGGGCTTGCAGAGCTCATATTTAGACTGTGAGAACATCTCAGTCTGGACTCTGGCAGTCTCAGGGACAGGAATTCTGAGCTGTAGAACCTCTGAGCCATCCTTGGCTCTTCTCCACTTCCAGATCTGGGGTTAGGGTTGTTTCCATCCAGCTCTGGATTTTCTGTCAATGCTGAGGCAGTGATACATTTATTTCAGTTACCTTTGTTGTTCTTTCACCTACAAAATCAGAATACTGATGCTTTCTGAAGGAAGTCAGGGCTACAATCTCCCATTTTTTATTACTTATCCCAGGTCATTTTACAAACCCCTGGCCAAATACCTGCTTTGCCTTGTGCTGTCTCATTTGTCAAGGCAGAGCTGCATAGTTTAAAAATCAATCAAGAACCTCAGAAAGCCAGGGAGCAGCTCTGTGTGTGGCAATTCCTCTCAAAGGGGTGACAGGCTGGTGTGGTGAAGTTTAGTTCAGTGGTTGTCTGTAAAACCTATTTCCATGTTTCAGCATTATGAAAATAAATTCCTCCAGCGAGCTGAATTAATTTATTGCCATTTTCTAGATTATGCTGCTTGCAGAAAGATGATATAATAGCCCTACATCTCTCAGTGAATTTGACTGTTCACTCAAATTGACTTATAAGTGGGGAAAAAAGCAAATAAAAAAAGGAAATAGAAAGAATGTAGAGGTACTAAACCCATTGAGAGTTGAAATATTGCAGCAGATTTATCCCTGTTCTCCACTGCTCCCATCTTTGATGTTGGCAAAATTAAGATTTGAACCTCAAAAGCTGACTCAGGTTTATGTGCAGGTACCCTTAAAGAGCTCTAATATTTAGGTTGCTTTCTAAAGGAAGGCAGATGTGAGGTTTGTGTAGGTTCAGCCACTTGGGTGGTTCAGTGGTTTGAAATCCCCAAAAGGCCAAAATAACCCCAGGTTCTGTGTGGTGGGTGGACAAGCAAGGCTTGGGGTGGTTGTGCAGGTGTGTGTCTGAGTTCTGCTGCTCTCCCACTGTTCCCTGGGGTTTTGGGATAATGAGTGGGAATGTCTGTGGATTGTAGAAATTACAGACTGGAATTATCCAAGAGATTACAGGGAAGAATTTTGGGGTGCAACACCGTAAAATCCCAATTTCTTCAAAGCTTTGGCCTGTCCTGTGTTTCCTCATCGCATCATAAATGAAATAAAAGAATTATTTCATTGTTCTCTGGTGCTTTAGACCCGTGCACCTGAAACTTTCACCCAGCTGTGCTGGGAGGGAATTCCAGCCTGGGGCATTCCCAGCTACTGCTGGGCTGCTGCAGGACCACGAATGCCCCAAGATTTCCAAGGAAAAGATGGAAAGGAGAGGGGTTTAGGAGCAGGAGCAGCACTCATTATTAAATGGGACTGATCAGTGGAATTGCACACCAGGAAAATCCACCCCACTGCTAAATAGGTCAGAGTGTGAAATTCATGCAGCACATTCCTCCTGATGGCAAACCAGGGGCATTTCCAGGGCTCTGAGCAGCTTTGGGTTCCTGTGACACCCACTGCCTTTCATTTTCATCCTGCACAAGGCCGTGCTGGTTTTGGTGGTGTTGTCTCTCTTTTTATTGGCATTATTGAGGGGCCTTAGCAGCCCCTGAGGTCCCAGTTCACAGTTTCATCAGCAGGACAGGGTCTAAGCTGCTTTGAGCTTAGTGTGGGTAACCTTTTGACTTCATAAACTTCTAAATGTTGATTTGTATGAAAGTTCATTTAGCCACAGAGATATTTTTTTTTGTCCCTTTTTTTTTTTTTCAATTTTAAGCACACTAACTGAAATGAGGTTTTTATAAAACCAAACCTATCATTTAGCTAAATGGAGCTGTAGATAAGGTGGTGCCTTGTTGGCAGGAAGGGCAGTTTTCATTACTTTAATTGTGTGATTTGTCAGGATTTCCAGCATTTTATAAATGCTGGAGTGTTATATGACAGAGTTAAAAGGATTTAGAATGAAAGGAGTTTAAGAGAAAGACTTTGCAACAGGATTTCAATACTTTTTGTATTTGGGGGGATTTAGAGAGCTGTTTTTCATTTCAATTTTGTTAAACACTGTGTGTGCAGCAGGTGTGTGCAACGTCAGCGCCTCGCACATGCAAATAAACACAATTTTACAAATGAGAATTAATCCAGCAGAACCTGGGGGATTAAATGGCACCCCAGACCTGGGAGAGGCTGCTGCCTCCATTAGAGCCCAGCACATGTCACTGTGCAATCTCAGGGATGGGACAGCTATTAACCTGATTTAATGCCCTCAGAGGCCTCCCAGTAATGATCCTTTCCTGCACTATTAATATTTACATTCTGAAAGTATTGGAGTAGAAAATGGATTTTTTAAAATTGAGGGACTCGAGTCATTATAGACAGAAATCAGAAGTTTAAGCACCTATTGCAGAAATTTTGCAAATCTCTGCTGTGGGTATTAAATCTGGCATTTGATTTGGGGGCACTTGATTCCCTGGACTGCCCCCCATGTTTTTCCTCCTTCTTTCCCCTTCCTGGTCATTAAACTAGACCATAAATAAACATCTGAATTTGTGTCTCTAATATATATCAATATATATAATAATTAATATATATATGCATATATTTGTGTCTCTAATATACATCATTATATATAATAATTAATATATATATGCATATATTTGTGCCTCTAATATATATCAATATATATAATAATTAATATATGTAATGTATAATATATATTTGTGTCTCTAATATATATCAATATATATAATAATTAATATATATAATGTATAATAATATATATTTGTGTCTCTAATAGATATCAATATATAGAATAATTAATATATATAATATATATGGATATATTTGTGCCTCTAATATATATCAATATATACAATAGATTATGTGTCTAATATAGTGAGAAAGAAGGAAAAAAGTAGAGTGAAAAACTTCAGGTAAAATGCTGGCTGCACTTAAATCAGTGTCAGGAGTGCTGGCAGTCAGCATTTCACCCTCTGTGCTGGGAGCAGAGCAAATGGAATTCATCTGTTACCTGCACTGAAGGAAACAAATTGGTTGCCAGACTTTTAAGGAGACTTTTATGTTTCATTTATCAATTTACAGGTCAGTACATACAGTACAGGTTTGACTCACCAAAGAGCTTGAAATAATAGGAATAAAAGGAAAATACATCTGGCTGGTTTAGGTTGTTTGTAAAGCCATTGTTGATGGTGGAGTTATTGATGTGATCCATTTGACTTTATAAATACCCAAAGGTGTAGGAGGGAAGATTTTTCCTTGTACAGCTGAGAGGACTCAGCAGTGTTTGTTACAAATTAAATGCATGTACCTGAGTCATTAATAATTAACAGCCTGCTATGTCAAAATGTATATTGTTAATTGTTGTGCCCTTCTGAATAAATGATTTAGTTTTGTACAGCTCTATTCAAGATTTCAATTTTGAGCAGACTATATCACTAATATTCTTTAAAGATCAAAGGGTTTGGTGTATAATGGAGAAAAAAATGCATTATTCACCACACATGTGCAGACCTATAGATAGATAACTAAAAAGGCAAAGGTTGAAAGAAAATGGAGGAAAGTTAGTAGTGGTGGTATTGTTACTTTGTTATTTAAGCTGGGTAGAAACATACCCTGGAATTCAGTTAAACAATGTTCACAAGCAGAAGTAAGATGTTTAAAAAAAAAAACAACTCAATTTTAGTTTTATTTCTGTTTACGCAGCAGTAAAGCAAAGTTCTCCAAACTCTTAAAACCCCATTTTAAGAAGTGTGGTGTCTTTAACAGTGCTGGGCTGGAGGTGTGACTGAGCCTGGGGGCACAGCGACTCAATTTTAGTTTTATTTCTGTTTACGCAGCAGTAAAGCAAAGTTCTCCAAACTCTTAAAACCCCATTTTAAGAAGTGTGGTGTCTTTAACAGTGCTGGGCTGGGTGGAGGTGTGACTGAGCCTGGGGGCACAGTGGGGCTGGCGCCAGTGCCAGGGCTGGTGCCAGTGCCAGGGCTGGTGCCACTGCTGTGGGACAGCACCCCAGGGCAGGCACAGCTGGCCCAGCCTGGCACAAAGCAGCTCTGCAGCCCTGGCAGGGGATGGGATGTGCTGCAGGAGTTGTGGCTCCTCTTGGAGGTTGTTTTTTGAAGGTTTCCATCTCCTGGTGGTGGAACAGGTTGACGTGGTTTGGATTTCATCTCCTGTTTTCTTGGGCACGGGGCAGGGGCTGCAGAGGCTGCTCTGAGCTTGGCACCCCTGGCTTCCATCTCTACCAACTGGAAACCAAGGTGTGAACCCAGGCAGAGCTGCAGAGAACTCCCTAAAAATCAATGAAAAGTGAGCAAGAGCTGCTTGTTTCAGTCACAGAATCCCAACCCTTGTGGGATGAACAGAAAATCACTGCCAGAGCCTGGCCACGTTTTGCTGCCTGTCTTGTTCTCATTTTCATCTCTGTCACAGCTAATTTGTAATTTGAATTTCTGTCCCTTATCTGGCTCAAGCTGTGAACTTTGTGTTATATTCAGTATATTGGGCCCCAACCTGAACTCGGAAGCTGTACAAACAGCACACAGTGATTTGCTTTTTCTTTTCTTTTGTTTTCCCTCTTGTCAGGTGCTCAGAAATGTGATAATTTTGCTGAGAAGAGGCCTCTGCTTGGTGTGTGCAAAAGCATTGGGTCTTCTGGGTAAGAATGTTTTCTGTGGATAAAAGGAATATATAAATTGCATTGCCATCTGAAAAGCCCAGCAGATGACATCTTTAAACTTTGTTCTTTTTTTCTTCATGGGATAACACTGGGATGTGGTTTTAAACTATTTTTTTGGTGTGTCAACATATATTTTCCTATGACTTAAGCTTTTGGAAAGGGATAAAAAGGAGACTCTTGCTATAAAATAAATAAAGAGGTATTTAAAGTTTATTTTATTCTCAGTGGAATCACAACTTTATGATTAACCTTTTCTGATATTAATCCGGGTCAGAATTATTGTTGTGAAGTGTTTAAAGCAATCTCTGTCTCTTAAAAAGTAATTTTTCAAGCAGCAAATGAATTACAAATACCAAGCATTTCATTGTTGCAGCCACACACTCTTTATTAACAAAATACATGTTAAACCTCCTTCCTTGAGTTACAAAAATCAGTTTGCAGTCTTGTTTTATGCCCTCTCCAGAATTGTTGTATCACTGCTCCTATAAAAGAGGCCCTTGAGATTTTTTATGCTTTATTCAGACAATGCACAGGATTTATATCTCTACCTACAGGAAAATATTTGCTTTTCAGGAGTAATCCTCTACACAGCCATGTAATGGCTGAGCAGTTGAAGTAAATCTTCTTACAGTTGTAAGACTAATTCTGTGCCACACCTTTTTCAATTAAGAATTTAATCACTGCGTGTGTGAAGGAAGAACTGTCAAATCTTTCCCTTTCTCTGGTATTACTGTGTGAAATTCAATATTAATGTTACCTGCCTTAAATGTTTGAATTGAAATCCACATAGGGCAGAGAAGGGATTCTTTTTCTTTATGTATTTACAACTTGCAAAAACTGGTTGATGGTGATTTTTCTTATTTTCTTCCCTGCTCTTTATTTATAAATTAGAGGTGCAAATGCTGTTCTGTCTTTTTCCAAACAGTGTATTTATATATGTAAAGGATATGTTTGTTTAGTACAAATCTTCTTTCACAATCTTGTTTTAGAAGCTGAGGTACCTGAGAAGTGAACAAACCCTGAAGATAATAATTTTCATTGTGTTATTGTATTCCTGTTAATGGAAAATAATTCAAAGATTCTGGGCAGTTTTTGCTTTCCTCAAAAAAGAAAAGCCCCTCATGTGTTTTCAACACCATAATATTGTCATTTTCAGATAATTCTTTGTTGTTACCATTATTAATTAACTCCCAGGTGAATTTCCTGATAATAGATTTTGTTTTCTATTCTTGTACGTGATCATTTCATACTCATCAGCAAGATGGAACCTTTTCCTCATATCTGATTTTCTGGTACACACATTTTTGTATTTTAAAAGTCACATTTTTCCAGCTAGTAAAATGACTGAAATGTTTCACAGGGGGGTTGGCCTGGATGATTTTTAAGGGTCCCTTTCCAATCCAAACCAGTCTATGATTCACTGTGTAATCTTTTCAAAACAATTGTTTTCACAGCCCCCCAAAAGATGCAGTCCTGACACAGAAATGGGAAACAGATTGTGGTTTTTGGCTGGGATTTCTCTGCTGGTTTAGAGGCTGGTTCAGTCAACTTCAGTCTTAGATTACAAGATTTGCAAATTAAAAGGAAAACCAAAAAAGAAAGAATATCTGACTAAATTTTGGGGTTGTGGAGGGTTGTAAAGACATTCCTGCTTGTTCCTGGTGATAAGACAAACAAATCTTTATAGATACACAAAATTAATGGATGGGTTTGGTGCATCTTAATGCATTTCCTAGGTGGTGAAACATTAAGATATCCCTATTTTCCCCACATGGGTTATTGAAGCCATAGTTTGGAACTGACTGGATCTGTAAAAACACTTTCAAATACACCAGAGAGGCCCAAAATACATTACTTTCATTCTGTTCAAATGTAAATGTTAAATAAATACTTCAGTTTCACTAATGGAGAAGTTTAAAGGGAAACGGACCAGGATAATTTTGTTTTAATTCAGATTATTAAAAAACCAGTTGAGAATAAATGGAGAGATTGCAAATTTGCCCTTCAGCAGATAATATAGGTAACAAGAAAGCTGAAAATAACCAAAATGACCATTTCAGGAGGGAAATAAAAGCACATGAAGGAGCAGGGACAGGGAGAGGGGGGCAGGGAAGCCTGAGCCTTGTGCTCACTTCATGCTCTTAAATCCTTCTCCAGGTACTGGATTCCATCCTTACAAAAACCACCTGATATTTTTGTGTCCTGTGTCCAAAGAGCCAAATCATTTTGCTAAAAGATTAGCAGATTATGCCAGAATCTTGCATAGGCAAGTATGATAATCAGCTAATGCAGGTTTAGCTAATTAAACAATCAGTAATAGATGATTAAAAAATAAGAGTTTGAGGCCTTTGGGGAGAGTGCAGGAGCTCAGGCAGGGGCCTCTTCAGCAGCCTCTGGCCTGTGCTGGCTTTCCTGCTTATATTTTTAGAAAGATGATTTAATTTGATGATATCAAGTGGTGGAAAATTTTGGATGACTTGAAGAATTGGATGGAGGTCATTCAAGGGCATGAGAAGCAAGAGGTAATCTTTATTAATCATGGGAGGAGAGAGGAAATCAGGGTAAATTAAAGAAGGAGGGGTAGTTGGAGCAAACAAAATGTGCAACTTTGGCTAGCCAGCATTTTTTTTCCCCTGCTGATCTGTTTACAAGGCAAATCAATTGACAGCAGATTTTCAGGAAGCGTGTGCTTTATTCTCATGGCTACTGTAGATGAAATCCTGCTAACCTTAACCCAGCTTCAGCTCAGGAATGTGTTTATGGCAGTGCTCAGGTTTAGGAAGCAGCTTCCCATGAGTAAGAGCACAATTAAAGCGTTAATATTTTCTCAATTAATATTTCAGGGTCGTGTGAGCCTGGTCAGGGTCTGGCAGGGCAGTGCTAAAATCCAGTGTCCACTCCAAGTGTCTGTAGCTCTTAATGCTTCAGATGAGCTGGCTGGGAAATGATTTGTCAAACACAAACAGCAAAGCTCCTGAAGGATCACCCAAGAGGAGGAAATGAGCTCTGGTGAATGAAGATTTTGTTCCCAGCCACTGCTCAGGGGAACTCTTCCTGGAATGCCCTGAAATTTCAGAGATTTCCTCTGGTTTTTTGTAGTGCTGATGGTGAGAGCTCACCTGCTCAGCCCTGCCATGGGCTGTGCAAAAGGTGCAGATAGAAAATGCAGTTTGTTTTCTGAAATCACACAGAAAAATGGTCTGGGCCAGATGGTTGTGATTTTCAGTTGTGTTGGGCACTGTGAAATAGATTTCATGAAGTTTGTGAAGTATTTGTGGGCTTTTATTGAAGACTGTGCAAAACTCAGATTTTGTGAAGGCTCTCAAGGCTAGAAATTAAATTTTATTTAATTATTATATTCTAAAAAGTACAGTAGGACCTCTAAAGTTGGGCAAAACTCTCTCATTCCTGTTACCTTTGGGGATTTGAGTCCCAGAGGTTCTTGTGCTGCTGCATAACTGCAAAGCCTCATTAACTGCAGAGCTGTGTGGTGTCAGCTGCCTTGCAAAGACTTCCTTCCCTTCCAGCAGATGAAAAACATTTTCCTCTCTGATTTCTTTTGGGAAAATTCAGTTTAGCCTTAGCAGGTTGTGGGGTAGCTTTTAAGATCCTGAGAGAGGCAGGAATAAAGTAGTTTAAATTCCTTTTAGTGATGCTGGAATGGGGTTGTTATGTACTAAAGATAGAATCTCCATCTTAAAAAGAGCTCTTCATTTTTTCTTATAAGTTGATTCTGTGGTTATAAAAATGTACTTTTTTGTAATGTTGAAGTGATGTTTGCTGGTGATTCTGTGAGTTTTCTCATGGATTCCAATGCCAGGAGATGGAGCTTTAATGGAATAAGGTGCTGTTTCCATGTGTAAATACCAAGGGCAGGAAAGCTCTGGAGTTCCTCTGATACTCCAAATGTTTGTCTCAGTGAACCTGAGTAAGAAATAACCTTTGAACTATAATAAACTGTTAATCTTGGATCAAAACTGGGAGAAAATGAGTATTTAGGGTCAAATCTTGACCAGCTGGTGAGAACCATGGGTAGTTTTGACCTTCTAAAGCTTTGATTTATGAAGCTGTAAAAAGATAAAGCTTTTCCAAGGCATCCTCAGGATGCAGTGGAGGTTTGGGACAGCAGATTTCTGAGCGAGGCACAGTTTTGTTTTACTGCTGTTCCAACCCCTTTGTGTGTCGTGATGCAGGGAGGGGATGAAGGGGTGGGAAGGATGGAGGGGAGGAAGTCCAGCTCAAACCAGCTGGAGCACAAAGCTGCCCCCAGTAACTTGTCAAAAGAAGCACCACAGGGAAAAGATAATGCACAGCACCATTACAGGCAGGGCTGCCACTTCCAGGGCCACTTGAAATTCCACTTTAAATTATTAAATACTGTAAACGCTATAAAGTTAATTAGAAGAGGAACAAACTCTACAAAGATAAATGTGTTTTCAATATGTTTCTCAGGGAGGGTACAGTAGAAACCAGTGAATGAGAGGAAATTTATTTCTGGCAGCACTCTAGACATGGAACTGTGGTTGAACTTTTTACCCTAATTACGTCCCCACTAATGCCTGCAGCGGTCTGGAATCAAAGTGGCCCTTCAGGCCCTGGAAAGTCTCTGATGTGGCGAGCGTTTGTTGTGTGCTGAGGGTTACTTCAGAAAAAACGGAATATTGTGACAGGATTTTTCAAAATTTCTCAGTTACCACCCACCTCACTTGTTGCCTACAAAAATAGAGTAATTGTTTGCATCTGTGTGTTTTTGTCTGTCTCAGAAATAACTGTTATAAATCAACGTGACAGAGCCGGCGAGCAGTTGAGGATTATATTTTCTTTCCTTATATGTTTTAGGGTTATTCCTGTGTTCTGTAGTGTAGGAAGGATTTAAAGGACGTTGGAAAGCAGAAATTTCAGGATGATTGAAGTTGCTCTCTTTTCTTGAGGACACTTGAAGCCATCAGATCCCAGTGGGTTCACAGAGGATGCTCTTT